GAAATAAAACAATAGTCCAGACTAAATGCGAATCCTAGACATGCTAGGAATTAAATTGCCAAATAAAAATCTTAAATAGCCTAAAGACATATTAAGGCACTTAACGAAAATTCTTCAAAATTTTTATATTATTAAAAATATTGTCAATTTTTCATTTTAAATTATAATTTTTCATATTAAGTATAAATTGAATTCTTGTACAGTAACGATTTGCTTTGACTTTAATAACTATTCATAAATGACATTAACGTAGTACGCGAATGGCACTCCCTAAAAGTCGTTTAACTAATTTGATGGACTTGGATTTTTTATATTTTATCAGTAACTTTAAGATTGGTATAGATTTTTCGGAGATGAGATATTTTACTGCAGTAAAAATATCCCTAAATGTTGACCCGATAACCAGCCATCATCATACCAAATTTCATCAAAATCCCTCCAGTGGTTTTCTCTTGATGCGTTTCCAGACAGACAGACCGATCAAAATTCTAAAGATTCGGCCTCTGTATCGATAATAATGACTATTTCCATAAGATTTTCCAAAAAATATTTAATCCTACAGATTTGACTCAGAATTTTATAATATGTATAGATTATAATACTATTATAAATGCAAAAGCTTGTATGTGTGTATGTTTGTTACTCTTTCACGCTGAAACTGCTGGACTAAATTGGATGAAGTACACAAATAGACTATAACTTGGAATAATACATAAATTATTAATAGTAATAAAATTTGCATTTACATATTAATGTAGCCTCAAATATATTTAAAACAAACATTTATTTTTCTATCTCTACCTAAGCCGTTGAAAGGTCAACCATCAATTTACTCTGATATTGTTATAGTTACAGCATACTAGCTTAAGTTTTAACTTTGAAAAATAGCTTCTATTTTAATGGAATTGAGTCTAAATTTGTTTGTATTATTCACAACCTCACTTTTCAGAAGGAGGTCAATATCAATATCACGGTAAGAGAAACCGGATAAGTTTTTATATTTTTTAATATTAAACCATGTTTATCTAATAAAGTACAAGTGTTATTTAACAGCTTTTGCTTGTAATAAGCCATTTTAATTTTATCTAAATGAATTTATTTCAAACTAGGTACGTTTTAATCTTTTTAACCGGAATCCTAATACTTTTTCTAATATAAAAGTAGCTTAAGTTACTCCTTGTAATGTCAGCTATCTGCCAGTGAAAGTCCCGTTAAAATCGGTCCAGCCGTTTCTGAGATTAGCCCGAATAAAGAAACAGACAGATAGACAGACGGACAGACAAACAAACATTTTAAAAATTGTATTGTTTTTATATGTATCGTATTCACTTTCATAAAAATTTAGTAAAAATTTGTTATTTTGACATTACAAACAGACACTTCAATTTTATTTATCTGTATAGTTTTTCTAATGTAAGTATTGTAGATTGTTAGGGGAACAACCTAATGTTTTGACAATAAGTAGGGATACATAGATATACATATCTCATATATGTATATCTATTTATCCCTATTTTTATTTCTCTACATTTACCCAAACTTTTTTTTGTTCATTTCAATACTTGTTTTGAATAAATATATATTTAAATATATAATTTTTTGTGATATTAATTAACCAATAAAATAATTGCCAATTAAATAATTTAATTTTTTTGTCAGAATTTTAATGGCATACGTTTAAAATTTTACCCACAACTTTACTTCCATTACAATACTAGCGACTCACCCTCACTCCGCTCGGATTCGTTCCTACTTCCTACTTACGTTTTGACGTTTAGTGTAGATTTGTCAGATATGAGATATTTTCCCGCAGTACAAAGTATTCTATATATTGACCCAGAAAACCAGCTATCATCATAACAAATTACGTCAAAATCTGTCCTGTAGTTTTTCGTGATGCATTCCCAAACAGACGGACAAAAATTCTAAAAACTACAGATTCGGCCTCTGTATCGATAATAATGACTATTTCAATAAGATTTTCCAAAAAATATTTGATGTACAGATACGATTCAGTTAGAATTTTATTATATGTATAGATATCCTGCAAATAGTAGGTTGTAGCTTTCTGTCAAACAAATAACAAATTTAAAACTCACATTGTTTAGTTTAAAAAAGTACTTTATGTGGTGTGTGTAAGTTCGAATTTGTGTTTAGTTAAGACAAGCTTTCGACTTATGAATTTGTCTTTGGTTTGATTTAACAACATATCGACCCCACTTTATCAAGAGATATTTTTCTGGAAAATTGTTTCTATGATTTATATATCAATGATACAAACAAACAGATATGATCATTTCATAATAGTAAATAACTTTAATATATTTAACTAGCGACTCACCCTCGCATCGCTCGGGTTCGTCCTTAGATTACTTCACCATACAAACTTTCATCCCCATTTAACAAATTTCATCTAAATCGGTTCAGTAGTTTCAAAGCCTATTCGGTACAAACAAACAAATCTTTCCTCTTTATAATATTAGTATAGATAAAACATAAGTCATGAATGACCACAGAAACCGAAAGTAGTATATTCATAGTCGAGTCACATTTAAGTTCACTATCTATGTTACATTACAGCAAGTATTACGACGACTATCCACATTTTAATCAATTGTAAAGTTTGAATTTATTACCTACACTAGCATTGCCCGCGGCTCCGCCCGCGTTCAGATGACTAAAAACCAAATTCTTAGGTTTTACATATTGGTATACTCTTACAATGCAGTTTTTGTATTTTTTCTCAGAAATGAGATATTTTCCCGCGGTAAAAAGTATCCTATATGTTGACCCGGATATCCAGGTATCATCATACCAAATTTCATCAAAATATGTCCAGTGGTTTTCTCGTGATGCGGTAACAGACAGACAGACCGGCAGACAAAAATTCTAAAAACTGTAGATTCGGACTCTGTATCGATAATAATGTATATTTCAATAAGATTTTCCATGAAATATTTAATGTACAGATTCGACTTAGTTACAATTTTATTATATATATAGATTAGTTCGTCCAGTGATCAAAATCTGACTATAATCATTATTGAAAACTAGCGATATACCCTGGCTTTGCTCGGTTGCGTCCCTAGGTACAATTTTTTTTAAACGGAACCTAATTTTATTTCTAAAATAAAATTAGCCTAAGTTACTCGTTATAACTTTTTATATACCACTATCGTAGATAAAAAATATAGTTTTAATTAAATTATGAATTAGATATCTCCTTCACATCTTAAATATTACAAAAAGTTACAAAACAAGTATTTTAAAACTTAATTTATAATAATTGGTAGTTTCGCTATATAATATTACTTTTAACTGCTTAAGTACTTAATGTTTAATTATAAGTGGTAAACTAAATCCAGTTTTTTTTTAATATTCTAAACTAGCATTGCCCTCGGCTCCGCCCGCTTTCAGATGACCAAAAACCAAATTCTTCGGTTTTATATATTAGTATACTCTTACAATGCAGTTTTTGTATTTTTTCTCAGAAATGAGATATTTTCCAAATTTCATCAAAATCCGTCCAGTGGTTTTTCTGTGATGCGGTAACAGACAGACAGACAAAAATTCTAAAACTATAGATTCGGCGTCTGTATTGATAATAATGTTTGTTTCAATAAGATTTTCCAAAACATATTTAAAGTACAGATTCGCCTTAGTTACAATTTTATTATATGTATAGAATTAAAAAAACTTAGTAAAACGGGTTCAAATCCCAGGACTCGCGGTTTCAAAACCTCTGATATTTACATGAGCAAAACTTCCAACATGTCTTTCGGTGAAGGAAAACATCGCGAGGAAACCTGCATATCTGAGAGAACCTAGCAAGTTATCGAAAGACATGTGAAGTCCGCCAACCCGCACTTGGCCAGCGTGGTGGATTATGGTCTGATCGCCCTCGTATTAAAGTCAGACCCACCCTCAATAGTGGGGCCTCAATAAATGGTTAAATACATATATGTTGTAGGTAAGTCTGTCTGTCAATGAAGTTACAACACTGTTTTATAGGTATATGTTATTAGAGCAAGGTAGATTGGTTAGACATATCAATAGCTTCGACCTCTAAACTTAAGTTAACAAGAGCACAGTCACGAACTGTTTCAAGATTTTATTTAAAAATATAGCTGGTAATCTCATCTTAAATAATTTAAACTTCAATACATAAAATGATGTGAAAGTTTGTGAGGATGAATGAACGGATCTAGATGAAATTTGGCACAGAATAGCATATAGGTTACTTTTTATCCCGGAAAAATGTACGATTCCCGTGGGATGGATTAGTTTTTGTTTAGGGACGAACCGGAAGCGCAGCGAAGGTGAGTCGCTAGTATACTATATACGTACATAGTACATACCTATATATTTTTTATAGTTAGCATTTGGAATGAAATTAAAATAAAATCATTAATTATAAAACTTTTTGTATACCTCTGTTTGCGTCACTTGAATTATCAAACCCATTTAGCAAAAGAAACCATATTATTAATTGTAACTTTTAACCTCACAAACCATAGTCTTTCTCTTGGCCGTTTGCAGAAAAACATTCGAAACGTTGGGAACAAAAAATCAAAAATAAAACTTATAAAAAAAAAACAAAAGTTCTCACTCAAATCATCAAAAATTATATTAAAACACAAAACAAAATTTATAATAATCATAAGAAAATATTAAAATAAATAAAAATTAATATTATTATGAAGCTGTTTTCGTTTAAAAATAAATTAATTTAGTCTAATACTCGATTATTGGGCAAAATCTATTTCAATGTAAGAAAGAATAAAATTACCAAAAACATATAAAGATTACATAACTTAAATACTAAGAAAGTTTAAAGACAATGACCAAGGAAGAGCATAAGGTTATCATACAACATTTAACAGATAACCTATTTCACATTTAATTTTAAGTCGCTGACACAAACGGACGTATTAAAATAACCGCAATCCATAGCAGAATAATAATTAAAAAATAATAATTTTAGACTCTATGAAAATAAAATGGCAGTAAACGGCAAAGATTTAAACGATGTAGTTCCACCTTCGTCTTTGATACGTCGCGTAAGTTCACGATCAATAAGAAATTCTATATCTGAGGATAAAGAAAATGGAGATATATCAAAATCGTTTGTAAGTAAATATAAGAAAGCTCCAGAAGCTTTGAAAAGCTTTCACAATGACGATAGCGAATTGGAAGTGCCCGGAACACCCATGACACCAAGGACGTCCACTACACCTGGTTTGTTTCTTCATATATTATATTTAGTTTAATTACTAATCATAATTAATTAGATTCTGTCCAAATATAAAAACTCTTTCTTATAACTTTCTGGTCAGCGCCATCTATTGTTAACTTTAGAACTAAATATTTGCTGAAATTCATATTTATCTACTGTTCCATTTACATTTTATATATTTTTAAACTTTTTACATAATGTATGCATGTGCATAATTTCATCAAAATCTGCTCATTACTTATTGAGTAACAAGCGTCTACATGTCTTAAAGTTTAACATATTTTATAATATTGAATTATCATTACTGTAATTAATATTATCCTAAGATCACGTTTTTTAAAAATGTGATGTTGTGAAAAACGTCTCACCAATTAAACTCTACCAAGAGAGCTTTCTAGTTTTTCACCAAAAGTATCGCGATTATTCAAGTCGTCCCTACTGAAAATTCCACGTGGACACGTGCCTAATTCCTTCATTTTCTTGCAAACAAATATTTTCTTGCAAACTTATTTAAATAACTTGTAATACTTATACTTGCAAACAACTTCATTTTGTAATTTTAAAATTACCATTATTTTATTTTATTTAAAGATTTCAAAAATTGGCCTTTTACGGTTCCTTATAAATCTTACAGCTTTTTATTTATTTTTTCCTTAGTCATTTAGGAGTAATAAATTATGAAATAAATTGTACTCTATACATAACATAATAAAATTCTAACTGAGTCGAATCTGTACATTGAATATTTTTTTGAAAATCTTATTAAAATAATCATTATTATCGATACAGAGGTCGAATCTATAGTTTTTAGAATTTTTGTTTGTCTGTCTGGGAATTAATGTGTCACGATAAAACCACTGGACAGATTTTGATGGTATGATGATAGCTGGTTATCCGGGTCAACATATAGGATACTTTTTACTGCGAGAAAATATCTCATCTCTGAGAAATCTACACTAACCATTAAAACGTAGGTACCTAGAGACAAACCTGTGCAGGGCAGCGCCATAAAATAAAGCTAATATCGTCAAAAATTTAAATTAACACAAAAATGCTGACATGAACTTTCAAACGACTTTGAAATTCTTCTCATCATTGCATCAGAACTAATCACCTCGTTGGTTTAAAATAACAAACCATAATTGGCCAATTTTATATATCACTACGTATAATTTTTTGTATATGAATAACTTATAGGGGTTTTGAACACTAATTATTATATTTTAACTGATTTCAATATAAGACCGATTTAACTAATTTTTTGACGTTTGTTACCTGACATTTTTTTTTAATCAATTTTTGATATTTATTTTTAAATTATGACATAATAAGCAGCTATAAACCTTCTCATTCTATACATAATTAAAAAGGCCTTAAGAATTGATAACTTAATTAATTTAATAATTAATAACTTTATATATGTTGTTTTGAAGCAGGTATTTTAAAAATAGTTTTTTGTTTCAAAATATTTAATTATAAACTAATGAGGTCAATACAATTTTCTAGTTATTGGATTAAAAGTGTGTCAATTGATCACAGATTTCTTCGCCAATGTCACGTAGAAAGGAGAAGACCCAAGTGCCACTAAGGCCCGATCCACACTATAGTGCCGATCACAGTCCGTTTTCGTTGCTTGAGAGTGATTCGACCGGAACATGACTTACTGATGGTGTGAATGCATTCGTTGTTTATTGTATAAAAATACTTTACCAGACTATTATCGGGCCTAGAATGAACCGTTATCGGCACTATAGTCTGGATGAAACCTAATGTGTTACCAGTACTTCTTGTAACTCCAACGTGATCTACTTTCCCAGCGCGATCTATTATTAAAAAATTAATTTTATTTCAGAAGCCTTTATTTATTTAAAAGTGTGTCTATCGGAAAAAAAAATATTTTACGTTTTTATTTCTATCTACTTATACAAGAAACTCTTGAACAAAGTAGTAAGCTTAACAATGTAAAACATTTTTAATTTTACTTTTAAATTTTTGAAAAGGTCTGAGACAGAGAAAAAGTCTAGAAATCTAGTGGAATTTTAATATATGATACATGCGTATACCCAGACTCAGGGAATATTTATTCATCTTTTGGATACAAGAGCGTATAAGTAACGAAATACAAGGTTATTTTTATTTGTAATGAAATATTTGTTTTGTTATTTATTATGTTTAAACCTGCGGGTTTTGTTTGGAGATGGTTAAAATGTATTAGTTACACTACCACATTATGTATGCCTTTTTAAAGTCACAGGTTCGATTCCTCCAGATGGTTGTTTAAATCTAGGAATCGTCCAACGGCCAAGTCATTCTATTTATTAAAGAAATAAAGATATCTAATATTGATACGGTCACTATAAAATATTGTTCGCCTTAACTCTCACCGGTCGTGTCGAGTGTTCGTCCCACCGGAGTATGAGTGTGATAGGAATAGAGAGTGCACGTTGTGTCTGCGCGTACACTTGAGCACTATAATATCTCCTGCGCAGTTGGCTAATCTCATTGAGATTGGCCGCCGTGGCCGGAATCGGCTAGGAGAACATCAAAATATTGTTATTTAACTAATAATTAGGTAACAATTTATGACAAAGTTTTTGGATAGATATGTATAGGTACTGAATAAATAACCGACTTGGTTTTACATTAGATCTCAAAACTTTATGTGGTAGAAAAACGATGTTGCGAGACTTGCATTTTTTACACGTTATGTTTTTCATAGGATATAGTTTCGCTAATTAAGTCGAGAAGTTAACAAGAATTCTATATATTTTACTAGCATTGCCCGCGGCTCTGTCTGTCTGTCTGTTACCGCATCACAGAAAAACGACTGGAGGGATTTTGATGAAATTTGGTATGGTGATAGTTGGTTATCCGGGTCAACATATAGGATACTTTTTACCGCGAGAAAAAATCTCATTTCCGAGAAAAAATACAAAAACTGCAATGTAAGAGTATACTAATATGTAAAATCTAAGAATTTGGTTTTTGGTCATCTGAACGCGGGCGGAGCCGCGGGCAATGCTAGTTAACAATAAAGCCACTGGTACCTACTACTTAATATGTACTACTTAATACAGTCTATAATAAAGTTTACGCACGACGGCTAAATGGACGGTGAAATGACGTGGGTTTATGATTTTTTTTTTTTGAAGTTTTTTTCATGTTCCGTCGTGGGTTTTTTTTTTAATTTATGTTTTATTTGCGGCATGCAATACATTTAATTAAATATTCAACAGCTATTTTATACCAAAAAAAAAACCGTTTTGAAGAAACATATGTATATTGTAGCGCAGCCTGACGGTCTATAATATTATAAAACTTAGTTAAGATATTGTTCAGGAATGAAACTAAAAAAAAAGAAAAAACCATTTCAAAATCGGCCTAGCCGTTTCCGATAAAAATATTATCAAACACACAAACACCTCTCACTCCAAACGCATATACCGTCTAATCACCAAACGTTGCAATGACTAGTTAAGAAAAACAATGGGCAAATATCAAACCTTTAAATTCCAACTTAAAATATGTTTAATATGTCTCGAAAAATAATTGAATCCGGAACTCATGATTTTGTGATAAATAGTAACAGTAACAGTAAGTTTGACGACACGTTAGGCTCAGTATGTACTTGCTATGCCAGTGGTCGCGGGTTCAAGTCCCGTTGAACTTAACTCATTTGTGAACTCATGACTGGATTCATTTGTGTGATGAGCACGAATGTTTGTACTCCAGTCATGGGTGTTTATATTTATAATACGTATGTAAAGTTATATATGTGTAGTGTATCAACTATCTTGTATCCACAACACAGGCCTCATTGCTTACCGTGTAGCTAGATGGTGATGTGTGTTAATGTCCCAACATATTTATAGGTATTTATTTATTATTTACTAGCAGAACACAAAAAAATCTACAAAAAATCTCGAAAATGGTAGGTTTCATACAAAATTTTATCCGCTACTACTACTACTTTCGAAAAATGCTAAAACGCGTAATTATTTAATTGTATTGAAGAGCATTTATACCAAGTTTCAAGTAATTCTGATCATAAATATTTTTTTGGATTGTATTATAACATGCTTATCCGTGGGAAAGAGATAACCTCCCGCGGTAAAAAGTAGCCTATGTCACTCTCCAGCCCTCCAACTATCTCCACATAAAAAATCACGCCAATCCGCCTAGCCGTTTCGGCTTGAAAGAAAGACAAACAAACTAACACACTTTCACATTTATAATATTAGTATGGATTTATAACTTTGTAATAATCAATAAATATGTGACTAATTAATTATATTATTTATTGGCCTTTGGCAATAACATAAGATGTTGATATTTTTCAACTAATTATGTTATACTCGTATTATATGTATCATAACAGTGTCAGCATATCACATTACTATTTACTTTCTATACAGACAAATAAAAATGAAGGGTCTATTTGTAATGTCAAAATAACAGCTTTTTACTAAATGCATATAAAATTATATACGGTATATCTAAGTTTGTGTTGTATGGATGTCTGAATGTATACATATATGGATGTTTGTTACTCTTTCACGCAAAAACTACTGAATGGATTTTAATGAAACTTCACAATAATATAGCTTATACATCAGAATAACACATTTTATCCCGGAAAATGTACGGTTCCCGTGGGATAGATTTGTTTTTGTTTTTTTTTTGAGGCAAACCCCAACGAAGCGAGGGCGAGCCACTAGTTGTGAAAAATTTGTGAAAATCCGCTATTTTCAATTTCGCGAAAGCTCACAAACAGTAATCGTTCAATACACTGGCGCCTCTCGCGGCGAATTCAACCTTGATAGCATTTGGATGAAACACTCGTGTAATCTTTCACTAGTCATGTTTGATATCGATAGACAAAACCAAAGTATATCCTAATAAAAAAAATATGCAGAGAAAGCCGCGGCAAATAACTAGACGTACCTACTTATATTGTTATATCTATGCTAATATTATAAACAGGTAAAGTTTGTGAGTTTGTGACGTTAGGGTAATCTCTGGATCTACTGAACCGATTTAGATGAAATTTAGTATGGTGATAATTTGAGACCCTGAGAAGGACATAGGACACTTTCTGTCCCGCAAATTATGCCTTAAGGGGGTGAATATGAGGATGAAGTTTATATGGGGAACTAATTACTTATATATAAGTAATATTATTAAAGTATTCTATATTAAACTGCAACAAACAATAGTTAATAATGTATACGAATATTTTCATCCATTCTGTCACCTTGAGAATAAAAAGGTGTTTTAGCGAACAAATTATACTTACGTGTAGATACAAAAAATATGGAATATTTATTATAGTATCATTACGTATCTAGTTTATACATAAATATTTTTATTTTCAAATTATGCTCCATAATAGTTATTATAGACAGGCTGTCCTGATCCAATTTTAAATATATTTATTTTATATAGTTTTTGCCTTGCAGCTGGAATTCAAATCTTAACTACGTTTTAATAAAAAAAATCATTTTAGTAGTCTTTATAATAAAAAAAAATATTTAAAGTTCTCGTCAATAGCTACTTAGCAAAAAAAAATCGGTTGACAAACAGAGGACAAAAGGACACTAAACTATTTTGTCTTTATCTATTTATATATAGATATGTTTGAGATCTAAAAAAAGCTATTTAGTTTCTCCCCATTTTCCTATATTTCCGGGCAAATTCGTTTTTTTTTTCTAAAATCCTTATTCAAACACTAACGAATATTTAAAAAAATAGCCAAGTCAATTTAGCAGTTCTCAAGTGAACGCTTACCAACTAACAGCATTTAATTTTTATTATGCTAAAGATTATTTTCCTTACATTATAAGTTTAAATAAATAGCACTCTCTATCTCTCGTCTTTATAATAAACACAGTTGGGTCAAGGATTGACCATTTTATCCTTTGATTGAAAGAAATATTTCAATCGATATATGTGTGCCTATATCATGGTACTATATACTAATAATATAAAAACATTTTTTTTTAATTTGTTTATTAACATATATATTCTTTTGTTCACAGGTCATGAAAACTGTACATTCCACCATGACTTGGAGTTGGACCACAGACCACCAACCAGAGAGGCGTTGCTCCCTGACATGGCTAACTCATACAGACTACTACTAACAGGTAACTAAAACCTTCTATAACGAATCCTGGCCAAATTTTCATTGCAGTCACAAAGATTAATATACGAAAGGGATAGTGATATAGCTTGTGCACAAATACATATGTATGTATATGCTGAATCTGGGTCTGAATAGTCTGGACCCCGCCCAGGATTCGAACCTAAGGATAAATAGACGAAGGTAGAGTAGGACGACTACAGAGGAATTGAGCCTGCGATCTCCTATATAGCTTTATTTTTAGATTATTAGAAGAATATATTTGCTTATTATATGAATATTTTTTAGCATAAAATGCGAAAATATTATTGATATAGTAACAACAAAACAATATTGATTAATTTGGGAATTCAATAGTAGCTAATATAAGCTCTATTCTATCAAACGGGATATTAGCCAAGAACAAAAAGTTAATTAATAACTAGTGGTATATTAAATTTAGTTTCTGTAACTGTTGTTATATAGATTTTTCTTATATTCAATAACAAAGAAATGCCTACAAAAACATTGACGCAATGTTACTCCGATAACGGTCCTCTTGTTGAATCACGTTAGAAAATCAGAAATGGATTTTCATACGAACTTCCAACCCCTTTTCACCGCTTATGGGGTTTATTTCTAAAAACCCTTTCTTAGTGATCTAGTTATTTATACTTTCTGTGGGTTTGGGGTCGAGCTAAATATATATTAGGCTGTGCCGTCATGAATATTTTATATTATACTAGCGAATCACCTTCGCTTCTGTCGGGTTCGTCTAAGTAGCTTCCCCATACAAACTTTCATCCCTATTTTCACGTCCTTAAGAGATGATTTCCAGGATAAAAACTATCGAATACCCTTCCCAGGGTCTCAAACTATCTTCTTACCAAATTTCATCTAAATCGGTTCAGTAGTTTCGGAACTCGTTCGGTATAAACAAACAAAAAAACAAATTTTCTCTGTTTATAATATTAGAACAGATTATTGAAAATTTTGACCTTTTTTCACAAATTATATAAAATAAACCCACAATATCTAAAAGCAATATTTTTATTCACATTATTATCATATCTTGGTTTGTGTTCATTTTTTTTTTAATTTACAGGCTTAGGCGAAGATCCTGAGAGACAAGGACTTTTAAAGACTCCAGAACGTGCCGCCAAAGCCATGTTATTCTTTACCAAAGGATACGACCAGAGTTTAGAGGGTAATTTAATATTATTTTCAAAATTATTGTCTTTTTTATTATGCCTCTAAAGGTTATAAACATTCATAAACAATTCATTAATATTTATTTTCACTAGTGGCCCTTTCGCCTAATGGTCGAAATTCAATCAAAATCATTATTGAAAATTTGAGGAAAAAAGTATAAATAGAATTTACCTATGTATGTAAAAAATTGTAGATAGAGATGAGAGCTTCAAAAGCTACTTTTCTTAAAAAGCAAGAGCCGCGAGCGACATCTTAGTTAATAAGTACAAAAATATTTAAAATAAAATATTACTTATAATATAAAAAATATAGTAATAAGTGTACCATCAGAAATCGAACCCACAATATTCAGCATGGTTGATTGTGCTAGACGATTTTCAGTGTACGATGTTATGTATTTAAACATTATTCTCAGCCTACAAAATACGTCTCACTGTAAACGCCATATAGGTCAAGAGATCTATTTAAATAATATGAAACCGTTTCTTACTTACAAGTAGAAGATTTTCAGTCATTCCTTGTATATATTTTTTTTAAATGTATATTATATAGAACTTTATAAAACCGGCTAGGCGCGAGTCGAACTAACGCGATATGGGTTCCGCTAATTAAATGAAATTTATCTATGTTCAATTAGACGTATATAAATTACTAGCATTGCCGGCGGCTCCGCCCGCGTTCATATGACCAAAACCAAATTCTTAGGTTATATATATTGGTTTCATCAAAATCCAAATTTCATCAAAATCCGTCCAGTAGTTTTTCTGTGATGCGGTAACAGACAGACAGACAGACAAAAATTCTAAAAACTATAGATTCGGCCTCTGTATCGATAATAATGTCTATTTCAATAAGATTTTCTAAAGAATATTTAATGTACAGATTTGACTTAGTTAGAATTTTATTATATGTATAGATATAGCCTAATATTTATAATCGGAGTACTATTATATATACATAAATGAGTAAGTTTGTATGTGTTGTTGTTACTTCTTTACCCTGAAACGACTGGGCGGATTTTGATGAAATTTAGTACACAGATATAACCTGGAGTAACACATGGGCTACTGGTAGTAATAACTTTTTCTAAAAAGTGGCGTACTTTATACTAATTGACGACACGTTTGGCTCAGTTTGTAGTGACCGTACTTGCTGTGCCAGCGGTCGCGGGTTCGAGTCCCGCTAATGGCATTCATTAGTGTGATGAGCACGAATGCATGTACTCCAGTCATGGGTGTTTATATTTATAATACGTATGTATTTAAAGTTATATATGTGTAGTGTATCAACTATCTGGTATCCATAACACAAGCCTCGTAGCTTACCATGGAACTAGATGGTGCTGTGTGTTAATGTCCAACATATTTATTTATTTATATTTATACTAATATATCATTAAAAATATTCAATAGTCAATGCATGAAAGGTTAGAAATATTCCAAAGTACATACATTTAACATTTTATTGAACATTTTTAGAGGTCCTAAACAACGCGATATTTGATGAAGACACTGATGAAATGGTGGTAGTAAAAGATATAGAAATGTTCTCTATGTGCGAGCACCATCTTGTACCTTTCTATGGGAAAGTGTCTATCGGATACTTACCACAAGGAAAAATCCTGGGACTTAGCAAATTGGCTCGGTGAGAACTTTTTTTTTTATTTCTTCCTTATTTGTTTTTTTTATACACTTATATAGATATTTAAATATTTATATTATGATATATCATAATCAATCTTTTATTCCATTTTCACGTTACAACACAACAAGTACAAAAAGCACGGGAAATACCCAATAACGGTCAATTTTCCCCCTTTTTTACTCCTTATGGACAAGGTTGAATTAACATTGATCATTTTTAAAATAAAAAAAAATATAAAACTTTATATTTACTATCCTGTAATTTTTTATTATATATACATTTATATACTACTTTTATTATATATACAGATAAAAAAAAGCAATCATATTTCATTATTACAACCAAAGATTAAAAAAAACGAAAAAAAAACATTTTATAAAAAACATAAACGTTCAGAAAATAAAACAAAAAAAAATAAGAATACTTTTCACAAAAAAAACCTATTAACAAATAAACATATTTGACAGAATCGTAGAAATCTACTCCCGTCGCCTTCAAGTACAGGAGCGTTTAACAAAACAGATAGCCGTGGCCGTCACTCAGGCGGTCAGACCCGCGGGAGTTGCTGTCGTCATTGAGGGAGTGTAAGTATATATTACTCAGACTAAGGAATAATATTGACGACACGTATAGCTCAGTTTGTAGTAAGTAGTAACCCTACTTGCTGTGCCAGTGGTCGCGGGTTCGAGTACCGCTGGGGGCATTCATTTGTATGATGAGCACGAATGCTTGTACTCCAGTCCTTTGTGTTTATATTTATAATATGTACGTATTAAAAGTTATATATGTGTAGTGTATCAACTATCTGGTATCCATAACACAAGCCTCGTAGCATACCATGGAACTAGATGGTGCAGTGTGTGTTCCAACACATTTATTAAAATCTATACATATAATAAAATTGTAACTAAGTGGAATCTGTACATTAAATATTTTTTAGAAAATCTATTGAAATAGACATTATTATCGATACAGAGTCCGAATCTATAGTTTTTAGAATTTTTGTCTGTCTGTCTGTCTGTTACCGCATCACCAGAAAACCACTGGACAGATTTTAATGAAATTTGGTATGATGATAGCTGGTTATAGGGGTCAACATATAGGATAGGATACTTTTTACCACGAGAAAATATCTCATTTCTGAGAAAAAATACAAAAACTGCATTGTAAGAATATACTAATATGTAAAACCTAAGAATTTGGTTTTTGGAATACAACAAATTTACAATAATAAAGGTTAGTTAGTCATAATAGCCGTGTAGCACTCGATTTAAAATAGGGCTATGTGGTTGTGGGTGTCGTAGATGACGACTAATGGATATAGGGACTTCGCACCATAAGTCCCTTGCTCGATGGCGGGCGAAAAATAGCATTCCAAAAGAGAGTTGACGTTAGGTCGGAATTTTTCTGCCAAAACCAATAAGCAGTATGAACGTAATGCGCCGACCCTAAGTAATTTGGGAAATGGGCAGGGAAATGATGAATAGTAAACGTTGTCCCAAAATTCAAACAAGATTTGAATTGGCCGCCATTTGCACGACAAGTGTTGCCAAGCAAAAAAAAATAAAAGTGATAGCTGAGAGTATATCGTTGATAAAAATAGAGCACTCTACCAAAAAACATGTGTTTTCATTATTGAAAAATATTTCAAAAATAATGATAGTTGGGCTATTAACATTTTGTTACGAAATATGGAAAATATATTGATTTCACTTCGTCAACTGTTACATCAGACGTTTCCTTTTCGTGTACTCCCTACACAAACACATGTCGCTATACATACATACATACATACATATACATACATATATTAGTGCTCAATCACGAAAATCCACATAATGACGCATTCCTGAAATTTCAATTTCAATAAAAAAAATTCCATTAAAATCAAACAAACGCCTCAAACTATGCCCTTCCTTAACAGAGGAATAAATTCTTTCGATTTAATATTCGTATAAAGAATAAAAATTAAAAATTAAAAACTATTAATTTGATATTTTTTCATTAACTTCCAAACAAAAGTGAATGAAAATGATATTAGAAATACACTTAGTATGTTAAAGTCTACTTAAACTATTATTTTTCGTATTTTTTTTTAAAAACACGTACATATAGATTAAATATTTATAATAATGTTTCAGACACATGTGTATGGTGATGAGAGGAGTCCAGAAAATAAACAGCAAGACTGTTACTTCCACAATGTTAGGAGTATTCCGCGACGATCCCAAGACCAGGGAAGAGTTTCTTAATCTCGTCCATTCAAAGTAGGAGATTTTATATTAATTTTCTAATAAACATTGTTATTTTTTCCATTTGCCTTTTTTTGCAATAAAGGTTTTTTTTTTTGTTTTTCAAAATTTCGTTGTTGTAAACTTTTGTTAATATTTTAGTTCAAAGTACAATGTTTAAGTAAAACGGCAATAATTGTTTAAAGTAAGGTTCCTTATTCCTTAGTATTTTAAGGTTTACTATTTTTAAGTTCAAAAAATGAATCAGCGAGATTTTTGGGATTAACAGATTTTAATTTTTTAACAATCTTCACGAATCGCTTCGAATGTTAAATTAAATTAAAACTATAATATTAATAAACAGATATATATGTTTTTATTTGCTTTTTTTGTTTATTTTTATACTCAACTCAAATTTTTTTTTTTTTTTCAATTTATTTTATTTTAATAATTTTCTCGACATGCTTTTTGCTGATTCATTTATTGCAATTACTTATACGCTTTAAATGTTTGTTTTGAATTTGGAATGATAAAATTTGTGTTAAAAAGTTCATTTTTTAAACACCAAACAGACGAAAGCAAAAACGTATAAGTACTAAAATAGACTTTTTGTGTAGTTTTACTATTTTTGAAATCATTTACACATAAATATACGTATAAGTATATTTTTATAGCACAACACATTTTAATTCTTTTATTAGTAAAAATAATTCGTGCCAAAATGTATGTGTGGATAATTTTTCACCTGATTGTTATATAATTAATTTCTTCAATATACTAATTTTCAAATAATACTGCCTTATGTTACATTTTATTAAGCTTAGGTTATTTGAATGAAAATAACTAATCAATCATTAAAAAATATCATTAATTCATTATAATTTTACAATTTTGGGAGATGCGATGATTATAATAATTGCCCAAATCATCGGTTTTCTCAAAAAAATAATTTCATTTTATTTGGAAACTGTGGACCAATGTAAAAATCTCAAGGTGTAAAATGGCTGACACTTGACATTTTTATCAATTTATGTTATTGTTTTAAAATAAAACTATCAAATCCATGACGTTGCCTTAAATTGAATGTGAATATACGAATTTTATATTATAATATATTGTGAGCATTTGATTTTATAAATAAATTTTTACTTTAAGTTGGATATTTGCTTTTCATTTTTTTATGTAAATAAACTTGAATTATAAAATAGCTGTCGCTATTATTAGGGACAAAAGTTTGTAGTCGTTGGCTAGGTGTCACACAAATCACAACTTTTTGTGAGACTCAAGCCCTTTTCTGCTATCTTGTTATTTCCAAAATGGTTTTAACAAACACATATTAATGAGAGGTAGCATTATTAAATAACTCTACTACTACTCTGTATTATATATACATACTTTATTTATTTAAATATTTACTGTTATAGACTTTCCAAGAACTTCTTACCATTAAAAAAATAATAGAATGAGTTATCAGAACGAATCTATACGGTTTTGCTGAAAAAGTATATTATTCTTATAAATCCATCACAAATATTCTTAATGTAAGTTTGGGTACCTTTTTACTTACTTTAAATAAATGATATATGGCATAGTCTTGCCATAAATATTGTTACAAAGAAAAATAAAACAATTTTTTCTATTGCACATAACATTTATTACTATTACAGAGTGTTAGTTTAATACATTAATATAAAACCATTAAAAATATATAAAGCTTATTCGAAGTGGTGTCCATTGGCTGCAATACAGTCCTTTAAACGTTGAGGCCAGTTATCAATGGAAAGCACGCACTCTTTCTATGGGAAAATTTATCACTGCCAATTTTATCGATGGTTTTAGGGACTCCAAATTATCATGGCGTTTAGAGCAAGCCATACTCTCTAAAACTGACCATAAAACACAATCCAGCGGATTAATATCGGAACTAGATGACGGCCAGGCTTCAGCTCTGATGAAGTCCGGAACGTGGGTTTCTAACCAAGATTGCGTGGATCGAGCTTTATGACCCGGCGCCGAGTCTTGCTGAAAGGACCATTCTCGATTCTTGGTGTTGTTAAGGGGCTTAACTACCTTCTCAAGAATGGTATCTTGATACACTTGTGCCGATATTTTGATAACTTTTCACAAAAATATGGCTCGGTCACTCCTTCATAGCTAACACCCCGCCAAACCATCACTGAAGTCAGATAATGCCCACGTTATACTCTGTTGACTAATAGGGAAGCTTCCTTAGAGCTTTGAGCATAAATACGGTCAATTTGTTAGTTAAAATATTGCTCAATTGTAAAAATTTTCTCATCCGTAAACAAATTTTTTCTGTGACCCTCCTTTGCGTACCGCTTAAGTTGTTCTTTTGATTTTACCAACCTATTCTTTTTTAAATTATCAGTTAAGAAATGACCAGTGCGTCTCTTACAGGCTGCAAGTCCTAAGTCACTTTTAAAATACGCGACATGGTTCTAGGTGCTATCTTCGTCTCACGAGATAAAATCTTTTGCTTTCGGACAGGATTTCTTCGAATTCTTTCCCTTACTGCTTTGATCGCCTTTTTCGTACGAACACTGCGTGGACGGCCAGATCTTTTTCCATCCTGAGGACCCATCATGGGGACCCTGCCGGCCGTCACCAGGCAGGGTACTGTAAAAAAAGGGCCTCCGCTTGTGACTATATTTATTCACTAACTGCTCTCCTCCAAATATAATACTCGAAAAATAATAATACTTTAAATAGACTTACCAAAACTTTCAAAGTATTATCTATACGGTTTTGCTGAAAAAGTATATTATTATACTTTGATAATTTCACCTTAAAATTCTTCTCTCTCTTTAATGTGGAAATTTTCCTACTTACGTTACCTAAGAATAATAACCCATAGTATGATGATTATAGATAACCTTTATAACCTTCCTCAATAAATGGCAACAATATTTTTCAGAGATAAGCGCATTCTAACAAACAACTAAATAACAATCTAGACAGCTTTTTTGGGAGTATGTGTGCTTGTGTGTATGTTTGTTACTCCTACATGCTATAAGAGCTAGACTGATTTCAATGATATTTAGTGTGACAAATAGGACAAACCTCTAGTATAATATTATATACAACATCAATAGCTAACTTTTATACTTATAAATACGTATCAGGGAGGTCCTTATCCATAAAATTGGCTTAACATAATCACAAATCAAAATAATATATATTTGTTTCTTAAAAAAAATATAAATCATTTTTTTACGAATAGTAGTTAATCAAATTATTGACTACTAGCAACTCACCCTCGGTTTGCTCGGGTTCGTCCCTAGCTCGATTCTTTATGCAAAGTTTCATCCCCATTTTCACATGCTCAAAGGATGATTTCCGGGATCAAAAGTATCCTATGTCCTTGCCAGGGTCTCAAGCTATCTTCTTACCAAATTCCATCTAAATCGGTTCAGTAGATCCAGAGATTACCCCCTACAACGTCACAAACGTACAACGTCACAAACTCACAAAGTTTACCTCTTTATAATATTAGTATAGATTATTGTCGAAACACTTTTTCCATTTTCCTCCTCCGCCCCCTGTAAGAAAATATTTAATTTCTAAAAAAATAGACATCAGTTGAGGCTAAGCAAGTAAGATTTAGAATTACCAGTCGAAGTATGTATCAATATTTTCAACACGAGCATTGTCGTGAACAAGAGAGGACTCATAAGCTCAGTAGTTATTATCATTAAACAAGGGCCTATTATACGCACATAAATATCTCCATCCTACATCCCTTGTGTTAGTCAACTTACTTATTCTAATTGTCAAAGACCGTCCTTTATTTGTCAGCTCGTACCAAAAATACCGAAATCATCAAATATAGGGCTGTTACCGTTCTTCTTTTGAAAAAACCATGATTTGTATTGCTTTAACCAGAACATTCTGCCTTAGACATTCCCAACACCACTCTAAATAATTAAATGATGATAAAGCCACATAAGCGAACCGAAAAATATTCTCATTAATCTCATCTTAAAGCAAATCAGTCAAACTTTAAGTACTCAGGTGTACTGTTGGAATTAATTTCCAATCAAGATGTACAATCTGCAATAAACACATGCGACTTTAATTTCGAAAAAAGGTAATTTCGTTATTTACCTTGTATCTATTTCACGGAATATAAGTAAATAATTATTTTGAGCTTTAAAGAATCCATTGACGATCGTTTCCGCCAATATTATATCTTTATAATTTTCATTTCCCACCCGCTTTCTTCCTTTTATACACACCTTTAATTTTAATATACGCTAATGAACAGTTCGTAACCACTTGAGTCTCGAGATGTAAACCCGCGCGCGTCTGCTATAATTTGCATGGAACATTATTCGGGTGTTTTGTGATGTATACCCCCATGTGTATTATCACTACCATCAGCATCTAACCGCTGCTGTCATCATCATCGACGCTGAACCTGAGGACCTGATGCTGCTCCAGCAAGGTAGGTGTGCTTTCTATTCCTGTTATCCGCACCGTTTGATCTATATATTATAATATGTATAGAATATAGATATATACAATCCACTTAAATTTTACTACAGATTTGTACCAGCCCTATTGGTATTAAACATATTTTATTTATATCGACCTATATTTTGATTATGATGTGTACGAGTATATAATATAAACTAAGCTGTCTTATGCATCATTCTGCAATATTTCGTCGACGAGTAAGTCACAAATTCTATTTTATTCTTTCAAAATTCAGTTAGGACGTTTTTGCTTTCGGCTGTTATTTCATATTTGAAAAATTATTTATGAACATTAATATTTTTTATTAATCTTCATTTTTAAAATAAATTAATTAAATAAACATTTATAAATTATTTATTTATTGAGGTTATTGTTTAGTTTAATATTAATTTAAATTTTAAAATTTATAACTACGCTCCTTATTTGCAAAATATAATTTATTTATTTAAAAATAATATCATCGAGGATATAAATTAAAATATTCATTTTTCATTTCTAATCACTAATGTGGTAAAGAGTGGAGAAGTGTTAAACATACAG